CTCTCTCTCTCTCTCTCCCTCCCCCCTCCCCCTTTCCACTCTCTCTGAAAAGCAATGGAAAAAATATCCTCGGGTGAGGAATAAAAAACAAACACAAAATTCCCTTTTATTCAGCAGACATGTGTTACTCCTTTTTACCAGGCATTGCACCAGGAACTTGGGACATTTGCCTCTCAGTTTATTGGAAGGCAGGTCAAGAGATAAAGAGATACTTATAATGTGGTTGATTTTTGCTGGGCTCTATCAAAGACACTGTAGGGTGACAGGTACTGGGAGACAGCTTCTAACTTGGCTATTTTGCCACTCCAGGGTTGCCATTCAAGTAGCTACAGAAGCCAGATAGGCAAATAGGCGAAGGTGGGGGGTGGGGAGCTGGCAACTTCGGCACAATGGGAAAGTATGCAGGCACAAACTTGCCAGAGTTGCTAGTTTTGTTTTGTTTTTTCAGGAAAAGCCACAGTTATGAATTTTGTGTGAGCTCTCTTGATTTTTAAGTCCTTTAAATGAATCCAAATTTTAAAAGCAAAACACCCCTCCAGGCCAGATTTGGCCTTGGCCTGCCAGTTTGCCAGGCACTCTGCCAACCAGCCATCCCTCCCTCTGACCAAACATTGAGGGTCTGCTGTTTTAGGCACTGGGAAATACAGCAGCTTGCGCGGTGTGGGGCTCTGGTATGGAGTTTCTCAAACTCAAGTGTCTATAGGAATTACCTGGGCAGTCACGCTGAAAGGCAGATTCCGCTCAGGCCTGCAGCGGGGCCTGAAAGCTGCCTTTCTAACAAGCTCCCAGGTGATGGTAATGGTGGTGGTCCCTGGACCATACTTTGGGCAGCGTTGCTGTGTAAGCCAGGGGGGTGCCCTAGCAGCTGTTACTTGAACGGGAGGAGTAGGGACTTTGCCCTGAAGATGCAAATTCCTGGCAAGCATCCTGTTTTTACCTAGATTTTGGTTTATTGGGGGTGCCTCCGAAGAGAGCTGACGGCACGGGAGGGGGATCTAAGGCTACCCCAAGCTATCTTTTGGCGCTGACGGGTCTCAATTCCGAGCTTATGTTCTAGAAGGCGGGGTGGGGTGGAGGAAGGCTTAAGAAAGGCTTCCTGGAGGAGGCGCTTCCCGGGCCTCGGAGAGGGGAGCCCTGAACTCCCGCTCCGCCGAGGCTCCTTCCGCAGGCCGCCCACGTGTCCCGGTCCCGGAGTCTGTCAATCAAGCGCCGCCGGCCCCGCGCGGCCCCGCCCGCGGAGCGAGGTTTAAAGGCGGCGGCGGCGCCGAG